AGGACACGAACCCCGGGCCTCGCTTCCACATCTGGTCACAGAGGGCGCAGCATCGACTGGATGACCTTCAAATTCCTTCCAATCTCCATCTCCACAAAGAAGACGGTGAAAACTATTACCATTAGTGCATTGAAGTCAAACACTGACCAGATTCTCCTGGAAAGAGCGTTGTGACCGTATCTGGAATATTGCACAAATATGGGCAAAGTACAGCAGCTCTACACACACAAGTTCCCGAAGTTTCCATTCAACTTCCTTATCACAACGGAACGGACTATTACTGAATCACAGCTTTCTCTTAGGACCTCTTAAGCTTCTGGTTACAGACACTAGATTTTTTTTTTTAATTACATATATGTTCTTTAAATTTTTTAAATTAATTTCAGACAGGAAGGGAGCGGGAGAGAGAAATAGAAACATCAATGATGAGAATCACTGACCAGCTGCCTCCTGCAGGCCCCCACTGGGATTCAATCTGCAACCTGGACATGTGTCCCGACGGGGAACTGAACTGAGACCTCCTGGTTCATGGGTCGAAACTCAACCAGCAACACCGGCCAGGCAAGCATTTCTAATCACTAGAAATTACCAAACCAGTGTTTACAATTTCAAGCTAACTGAGCAGAAAGCTGACAGCTTTGAAGAATCAGACCTGTCTCTCATCACCAGAGAAGATGACTAAGTGGAAAAACACTTCACAATCACATTACCATATTACGTTCTTGGTTCTTTGGCTACCTACTTAACATCTATCTCCCCAAGACACCGTATGTCTCTGTTGAGAAAAAGGGGTCAAATCAAAATGAGGTTAACAAATGACATGGAAAGACATTTACAATATACGGTATATTTCTGGCGAAAAAGGCAGATTACAAAGTAATATAATCAACAATATCAATCCTATTTTGGTAAAAAAAAATATATATATATGGATACACTACACACACCCATAGGATACACTCCAAGTTGTCAATAAACATAACTTTTCTGTAAAATGTTTGCATATCTATATTTTCTTATTATTTTTTTAAAATATACTGTTATTGATTTCAGAGAGGAGAGGAGAGGGAGAGACAGAAACATCAATGATGAGAGAGAATAATTGATCAGCTGCCCCCTGCACGCCCCACACTGGGTATCAAGCCTGCAAACCCCGGCACATACCCTGACCAGGAATCGAACTGTGACCTCCTAGTTCATAGGTCGATGTCCAATCACTGAGCCTCGCCGGCCAAACAATTTTCTTATTTGTCTACAGTGAACACTTATACCTCCTGAAATAATTCAAACATTTTATGTAACAAGAAAAACGGATCTGGCTCCCGATCAACAGATGCCTCCCTGAGGCACAGCTCAGGGGCTCCGCACAGGGGCTCCCCAGCACCCTTTGCACCATGTACCGGGGCTAAGCTGGGGTGGGGCGCGGAGACATGGTGCCAGCCGTCAAGCACCACCAAGCAGGCCCAGCCCTCTCCTTCCTGCTCACCTCCACTCCCCTCACAAGCGTCTGGGCAGAGCTCACACACTGACCGAAGGTCCTCAGTGGCAGTTCAGGATGTAACTCTCACCCTCATCGGTTAGGGATCAATAACAGAAGGACAGTTACTCTGGCGGAGATCCAGTTATAAACTGGAGCTAATCTCTAGCCCTCGAGTTAAGCTGGCCAATGCAAGCCTTTCCTTTTTTTTTTTCTTAAAACATGTTTTTATTATTTCAGAGAGAAGGGAAGGGGGAGAGAGAGGTAGAAACATCAATGATGAGAATTATTGATCGGCTGCCTCCTTGGCCTGGAATCGAACTGTGACCTCCTGGTTCATAGGTCAACACTCAACCATGAGCCAGGCCGGCTGAGCCAATCCTTTCTGATAAGAATGAAAAATAAGCCATGATGTTGAAAAGCATCATCGTCAAATCCATTTTCCAGTTAAACACTTCTGCCTTTAACAGGAAGTGCTGGCTCCTAACAGATTGCTTGGCATAGCAAAAGCAGCCGCGCTGAACGCCCCAGGCCTGATGGGCCAGGACCAAGTTCATCACCAGGCACAGATACCATGGTATCAGGAGGCGTGCAGGCTGTCCTGGCAGCTCAGACCGTCCCGCAAACCCAGGATCTCCCGCTAACAAAAGGAACGTGCATACGAAGAAGGGCTAGGACAGTGGTCAGCAAACTGCGGCTCCAGAGCCACATGCAGTTCGCAAGCCGCGGTTTGCAGACCACTGCCTTCGGGAAAAACACTTAAGAAACATTTTAATGATGTACTGATGTCTTTAACCTGAAGTCAAAACTGCTGGGTCAGGGTAATGCCTTACAGCAGAGCAGCAAACCGAGGCTCTCGAGCCGAGCCGCAGTTTGCCGACCAGTGGGCTAGGAAGCCAGCCTTCACAGGCAGCAAGGTGAAGGCAACCCAAGGAAAGGAGAAACGGCAGGAGGCCCGTCCTCAGAGAAGCATGAGGAGCGCCCCCGCGGAGAGCCAGAGCGTGCCACCAGCCCAGCGCCCTCCGACGCACGCGGGCTGGGCCTCCAGGCTGCGCTCACCATCTCCAGCGTGACATCTGGCAGAGCGGCACACGTACTTCCACACCAACTGTCTCCTCACCCCCGCTCTCGCGTCTCTTAAAAACCACCCACAATTTACATCAGAGCCTTACCCTCTGTCACAAAACATTTTTGGAGACTGCTTACAACCTACACAGCACTATTTTCCTGCAAGAAAACAAAACTGCCAACTTTAAGGATCTGAAAAAAAACTGCCAGCCATAAGGATCTGAAAACACTGCCAGCTGTAGGGATCTGGTCACTGCAGGCTGCAGGCTCCCTTCCCTGGCCACCCTCAGAAGAAATGGAACCGGCGCTGCGGGCAGAGGGAAAGCACGCCTGATTACAACATGTGCACTTGGCCGGTGAAAAAATCTGAGCGTTCCTGAACTGTGGCCACATTTCAGAAGTTTCTCCACTTGCAGTTTAACCTCACTTACAAGGGAAGGTTAAAGATCAGTTGTACTTCAACCAGGGCGCAATAAAAAAATAAATAAGTAAAAAAATCAAAAGCCACCGAGAGAGAGAGAGAGAGAGAGAGAGGGGGGGGGGGGGAGAAGAGAGAGAGAAGAGAGAGAGAGAGAGAGAGAGAGAGAGAGAGAGAGAGAGAGAGACAACGGACTCAGGGTTGCCCAGGACACGACAAGGGAAGCCAGCTGGAAATTCAAAGTGACCCCGACTCCTTATCAGGCACTTACAGAGGAAGAGGAAGTGGTTTGCACTTTATTTTTAAAATTAGGTCTAACCATCAGCCCCTGGGCCGGCGCCGGCTCCACCCAAGACACCACACGTCTTGGCATTGAAGATAGCGACCCACAGGCCTCAGACTGGGGCCTCACAGCCCACCAGCCCTGGCCCTGCTCCAGAGGCCCTCAGCACCCACAAGTGGTCCCCTCGCCAGGCCCCTCTCACACCAGGCGGTTTCCCTGGGTGCTCCCCCCACACACACACACCCAGGCCTGTCCTCCCACCCAAGCACCCTTCAGGCCTCTGCAAGGAAGAAAATGGGGGCGCTTTCCCCCAGACCCTGGCGGCCTGCAGACACTCCATGGGACTCCCCGCTGTCCTGCCCGCCGCTCGCTCCTCTCTCTGACACCCAGATGCCCCTTCTGTCCATGGATGCAGGTCCCGACTGCCTAGGACAGGGACCAACACAGGGCAGGAGCTCAAGAAACATGTTCTGAATGAATGAGTGAATGAATGAGTGAATGAATGGATGAGTGAATGAATGGATGAGTGAATCAGTGAGTGAATCAGTGAGTGAATGAGTGAATGAATGGATGAGTGAGTGAGTGAATGAGTGAGTGAATGAGTGAGTGAATGAGTGAGTGGATGAGTGAATGAGTGAGTGGATGAGTGAATGAGTGAGTGAGTGAATGAATGGATGAGTGAATGAATGAGTGAATGAATGGATGAGTGAATGAATGGATGAGTGAATCAGTGAGTGAATCAGTGAGTGAATGAGTGAATGAATGGATGAGTGAATGAGTGAATGGATGAGTGAATGAGTGAATGGATGAGTGAATGAGTGAATGGATGAGTGAGTGAGTGAGTGAGTGAATGAATGGATGAGTGAGTGGATGAGTGAGTGAGTGAGTGAGTGAGTGAATGAGTGAATGAATGAATGAGTAAATCAGTGAATGAGTGAGTGAATGAATGGATGAGTGGATGAGTGAATGAATCACTGAATGAGTGAATGAATGGATGAATGAGTGAGTGAGTGAGTGAGTGAGTGAATGAGTGAATGAATGAATGAGTAAATCAGTGAATGAGTGAGTGAATGAATGGATGAGTGGATGAGTGAATGAGTGAGTGAGTGAATGAATGAGTTAATGAATGGGTGAGTGGGTGAGTGAGTGAGTGAGTGAGTGAATGAGTGAGTGAGTGAATGAGTGAGTGAATGAGTGAGTGAATGAATGAGTGAATGAATGGATGAGTGAGTGAGTGAATGAGTGAGTGAATGAGTGAGTGAATGAGTGAGTGAATGAGTGAGTGAGTGAGTGAATGAGTGAGTGAATGAGTGAGTGAATGAGTGAGTGAATGAGTGAGTGAGTGAATGAGTGAGTGAATGAGTGAGTGAGTGAGTGAGCGACTGAATGGACGGGCTTGGCAGGAGCACTAGGGAAGGTGGGGTGCGGGGAGCGGGGGATGGGGGAGGAGGGGAGGAGGCGAAGGGGAGGCTGGGTGGGGGCCGGCAGCGGCGGAGGGGGCGCCCCCGGGGAGGAGGCGGGGGCCGGGCCGCAGTCCCGCCCGCGGAGCTCAGGGCGCGGCTGGACGCGGGAAACCCGGGCAGGGCAGGCCCCGCGGGCCCGGCCCCCGCCTCCTCCCCGGCCCGGCTGCTCCCCGACGGGCCCAGGGCGCCGGCCGCGGACCTCGGGCTCCGGCCCTTCATCCCGCCCGGCCCTCCACCCCGGCGCCCGCCCGCCCCCCGGGCCCTCCCGGCCGCGGCCGCCCGCCCGCTCACCTCGGGGCGCACGTACGACACGAAGGAGGGCTTCGGCGCCCGGGAGCCGCCGCCCCCGCCGCCGACGCCCTTGCCCAGCATCCCCGCGTCCGGGGCCGCGACGCGCGGGCACAGGCGGCGGCTGGGCCCCGGCTCGGAGCGCGGCCGCCGGCTCAGGCGCGGCTCCGCCCCTCCCAGGCCCGCGAGGCCGCCGCCGCCCGCATCCGGCGCCGCGCGCCCCGCCCGCCGCGCCCGCCCCGCCCACTCCCCGCCGGGCCACGCCCCCTCCCCTCGTCCAACTGGCGGACATTCGCCATCTGAGATTGGCTGTTTCACCAGCGGGAAAGCCCGCCCTTCTGCTTCTCTGATTGGCCAGAACCGCTCTCGGCCCACCCCCTGCGCCATGCCTCTGTTTGAATGCACCTGGAGAGATGTTTCCTCTGACCAATCCAGAGAGGGTTCTCTCGGAGCTCGTCGGCGATTGGATAGCAAGCATGTCGCCGTCGTCCAATGGTCCGGCGGGGACTAAACTCGGAGCAGCTTCACAGCAGTTGTCTTGTTGCTTTGAAATGAGACTTTCCAGCCTCCTGGCCGGTTTGGCTCAGTGGATAGATCCTCGGCCTGCGGGTCCCGGGTTGTGGGCTCGATCCCCAATAGGGGGCGTGCAGAAGGCAGCTGATCAATAATTCTCATCATTGATTTTTCTCTCTCTACCCCTCTCTCTTCCTCTCTGAAATCAATAAAGAATAAAAAATTAAAAAAAGAAAGAAAGAAATCTTCCCAGAAGTGCCGAAACCGGTGTGGCTCAGTGGATAGAGCGTCGGCCTGGGGACTGAAGGGTCCCGGGTTCGATTCCGGTCAAGGGCATGTACCTTGGTTGCGGGCATATCCCCAGTAGGAGATGTGCAAGAAGCAGCTGATCAATGTCTCTCTTTCTTGTCGATGTTTCTAACTCTCTATCCCTCTCTCTTCCTCTCTATAAAATATATATATATATGTGTGTGTGTGTGTGTGTGTGTGTGTGTGTGTGTGTATTAAAAATAACAAAATAAAATAAATAAAAACTTAAAAAAAAAAAACTTCGCAGAAGTATAGGATATCAGATCGCTACGTGTGAGTTCCAAATCCACATTAACGGCTTCAGGTTTATTTTAAATGTTGGAAAAAAAAAATGAGATAAACCAAGAGTTAACAGGCACTTGGGAATAGGTTTAATGTTTGATTATAAAAGGCCTTGTCGATCTCGTTTTCCAAAATTTTTTTGTTTCTTTGTGTTTCTGACAATATTCAAAGACTTTGTAAGAGACTTCTCTTAACCACTCTCCCAAGTTACCAATAAAACCCTCATTTTTAGTGAAGATTGCAAAGAAAGTTCATTGAAATAACATATTTGGCGCCACGCACTGTTAGGCTCAGATGGATAAATACAGGGCACAGCTTTCAAGGAATTCCGTCTAGCCCTGGCTACCTGGTTTGGCTCAGTGGATAGACTGTGGGCCCAGAGACTGAGTGGTCCCAGGTTCAATTGCAGCCAAGGGCACACACCTCGGTTGCAGGCTCAATCCACATGCAGGAAGCAACCAATGGGTGTGAGATGGATGTTTCTCTGTCTTTCCCCCTCACTCCCACTCTCTAAAAACCAATTAGTTCTTGACATAGAAAAAATTAACTGCAAATATTTATTAGTGTTTTCCACTAGAATTAAATTCTAGTGGAAAACGCTAATAAATATTTGCAGTTAATTTTTTCTATGTCAAGAACTAATGCTCTTGCCTTCTTCATTACCATGAATGCTCCTCACCCACACTCTTCCAAGCAACTCTGAATAAATCCAAAATCTAACAGATAATGAATGCACTTGCTTTTGCAAACATAGTTTTAGGACAAGTCCTATAGCCTTGTTCCCAGACCTTGAATGCCACGTCTTGAGTTTCAATCTCATAGAAACAAGCACTGAATTCAGTACAAGATCAAGCAGCTGGAGTTTATTACTTTATTGAAAAGAACTTGTGGCCCTAACTGGGTAGCTCAGTTGATTAGAGTTCTCCTGATACGTAAAGGTTGCAAGTTCAATACCTTGTCAGAGCTGATACCAGAATCAACTTATCTATAATAATAAAAGTGTAATATGCTAATTAGACTGGACATCCTTCCAGCCAACCCTCCTAACGAAGCTGGGCTGCAAGAGAGACCTGGGTCCCAGGTGCCAGAGGGAAGCCAGTGCCGGCAGCCGGGGAAGGAAGGCCTGCTCTTGCACAAATTTCATGCATTGGGCCTTAAGTGAATTCATAAATAAGTAGAAAACAAACGTGTGTGTATGTGTGTCCCTCTCTCCGTCTCTTTGAGCTCCCTGGGGTGTTCTTGTGGGTTCCTTTTTTTTTTTTAATATATTTTATTGATTTTTTACAGAGGAAGAGAGGAATAGAGAGTTAGAAACATCGATGAGAGAGAATCATCAATCAGCTGCCTCTTGCTCACCCCCCACTGGGGATGTGCCCGCAACCAAGGTACATGCCCTTGACCAGAATCAAACCTGGGACCTTTCAGTCGCAGGCCAACTCTCTATCCACCGGGTTCGGCTGGGTTCTTGTAGGAGCCTCGGGTGAGTGCGGGGTTTGGGCATGAGGCGGAGGTCCCTAAAGCATCCTCTGGGGGCGGTGATCTCGGGGGAGCCACACCATGTTCCCCATGGTCATTGGGCCCCAAAGGGCCTGTAAAATAACGCTCGTTACCATTTAATTGACAAGACAACTATCTTGCAGAACATGATGTTACTATCCTAGGATGTGTTGGGTCATTTTAACTGCAGAATTTTACTGAGATGGAGTTGTTTCAGCGAAGACGGAGTGTGTGTTACTCCTCTACGGTCTCAGCCTCATTTCCCACAAGACAGCCACTGGTAAGCCCACCCTGTTTTCAGCGCCGTCGCCACCACTGAGCTGCATTAGCCTGTTTCCAGGTGAGAGAACAGATGTAAGTCGTTTGCCCAGGTCCGACAACTAGTTACCGACAGAACGGGGATTCCAGCCAGTGGCAGGTTCCAGAGCCCATGTTCTTTTTATTATAATTACGCCCACGAGGACAGAGCACCGTGAAAGTGTCCGTTCTACTGGGGGAGGCCAAGCCAAGCTTCGTAAAGAAAGACCCTCCTTCAGGAGGCGCTGAAGAATGAAGGTCTCTGTCAGGACCGAGAACACCACCTTATATCTCACAACAGTTTTTCACTTTTCACAGTGAAGAGGCAGCCCCGCCAGGGCACTGCAACCGAGGTGCACTCCCTGGCCAGGAACCAAACCCACCACCTTTTGGTGAGCGGACGACGCTGCCACAACCGAGCCGCCCAACCAGAACTGACATTCTTTTTTTCTTCTTCTTCTTCTTTTTTAATATATTTTATTGATTTTTTAGAGAGAGGAAGGGAGAAGGATAGAGTCAGAAACATCGATGAGAGAGAAACATCCATCAGCTGCCTCCTGCACGACCCACACTGGGGATGTGCCCGCAACCAAGGTACATGCCCGTGGCTGGAATCAAACCCGGGACCCTTCAGTCCGCAGGCTGGCGCTCTATCCACTGAGCCAAACCTGTCAGGGCAGGGCTGACGTTCTGAGCAAATTTTTAGTTCCTTACTTTTCAAATAACTTGGGTTTTCCGTGATCTCCCACCAGAGTCGGTATGTCAGCGCGGTCCCTATGGCCGGGCTGGTTTGTTGGACATGCGCTGGTGCAGCCCCACAGGCCCACACTTAGAAGCGCTTGGCATCTCATGCTCTGCGCTCGCAGCTTGAGGTTCGGAATCGCTGTATCTCTAATCTGTGGTTTTGGAGTGAAGTGGGATGAGACAATGGAGGCAACCTGGCGTCTTGCAGCCTCAACTCCTGCAAAGTGCCAGCTCCCATCCTTTCCCCACCCCTGCTGGGTGCCCACCATGCCCTGGCACCCTGGCCCTACCCCCCCAATCTAAGACTCAGCTGCCAACTTTTGTGAGCGCAGAGCAGCGAGGCCTCGTTGGCCAGGAGGGACAAGGGTGGACTCTCTTCCACTGTCACCATCCACCTCTCACCCCCTTGAGTGCCTGGGTGCAGTCCCCCCTCATTCCTGTGTCTGTGGTGAGATGAGTAGCCATCCCTGCCCTAGTGTCTGGTCAGGGCCTCTCACCCACTCCGTCCCGATGCCCTGGTGTGGCCGGGCACACAGCCATCCCCTGGGGCCGCCCAGACCCCACAGGGAGGGCACTGACTCCCTTGCCATGGGCCAGGACCCCACATTTTCATTGGCTCTGGGTCCCGCAAATTATGTAGCCGGCCCTGCCTACCCTGCATCTTTTACCTGTGTCCTTGGGCAAAAATAACAAAACAAAATAAAAATAATAAAAATAACATTAAAGGCAAACTGTAACTGAAAAATAAAATTTTTAAATAAAGAATTTTTACTTTTTACCTCTGGATTTTGAACCATGAGCATTGTTACCTAGATCAACAATAAATCAAAATGTATATACACATACACATACCTATCTTGTGTAGATTTTTTAAATTAAAGCAAAAATCACATAAGGTAAAAGCCATTTTAAAGTGAACAATTAAAATACCTCGACTTTTAATTTGTAAACAAGAGCCTGTAACAGTCCTTGCCATTTTCCGTCTCTGCTTGTCTTGGCATTCACTCCCGTCCGCCAGGGTCTCCTCCCAGTGCCACACCAAGGCATCTTCCTCAGAAACTGTTGGGGCCAATCTAGACTCTGAATTCCTAGGCACCAGAGCTGCACGCTGCCTTGGCTGTGACCTCGAACCTGCCTTGGCATCACTGCACTGGGTCCAGGCCTTGCCTCATTCCCTGGCGCTATGCCAGAGCTTCTCATGGCCTGAGGATGCCCCCCTGCGCTTCCAATATTCCCTACAGCACAGTGCTCGGTGCTGTGAAGAGATGACCCAACGAATGGATGGGTGGGTGGGTGGGTGGATGGGTGGATGGATGGATGGATGGGTGGGTGAATGGATGGGTGGGTGAATGGATGGGTTGATGGGTGGGTGGATGGGTGTGTAGGTGGATGGGTGGGTGGATGGATGGGTGGGTGGATTTATAAATGGATGGGTGAGTGGATGGGTGGATGGGTGGGTGGATGGTTGGATGGGTGGACTTATGGATGGATGGGTGGGTGGATGGATGGGTGGGTGGGTGGATGGATGGGTGGATGGATGGG